AATCTGATAAGGACGAGATTAATAATCACTAATTTGAACACACATCAACTAGATTAAGGTTGGATTGTTTCCAATGCGTGTGAAATATAACCCAATTTAAAAAACAACACAAGTGTTTGTGTTTACGCAATCAGTCGAACACTTGGTGTGCAAGGCACCACAAGTGAATTTCAATATGTGAGTGAAGTGTTATAGTATTCAATTACAATCAAGGATTGTAATAAGGTTTCTAAAAATGGTTCAGCACTACACACATCAGAATTTTGATCAACTAAATTGTTTGCACACAAACTCAGAAATTAAGCAATTGAAAAATAAAGAGAGAACACCAATTTGTTGAGGCAGTTCCCTCGTCGTCCTCGCTCGGGGTACATCTGCCCTCAATTCTAGAAATAGAATTGAAACTTATATATATATATATATATATATATATATATATATATATATATATATATATATATATATATATATATATATATATATATATATATATATATATATATATATATATATATATATATATATATATATATATATATATATATATATATATATATATATATATATATATATATATATAGCCTATTTGCAATTTTTTACAAGAGAAGCAATAGAATTCAAACAATCAAACCCAATTGTTGATGCAGAGCCTATTCCTTCTCTTCCCTTGATTCAAGCTGAATCAAGTTCTACGAACGTGATGAGTAAACCTCCGATTACGACACACCATTTGAACAACCCTATGGTCTTCAAATCTTGCCCTGCTGATTTCAATCACCAATGCTTCGAACCCAAATCTTCTTGTCACAATCCTTCGGTTACCGCTACTAAACCAACAGAACCTCCCGTTCTTTGATTTCCTTCGCTCGGTTGAATCTGTGGTGGACCGATTTGTGAAATAAAAACCCCAAAATCCAAGATTCTTGGAAGACAAAATCCTAACGGTTTTATTCAAGAAAAACTCACTGATTTCTCAACCCAAACCTGATTACACCAATCCTATGTTTGGACGTTATCACCTCAATAATGCAGAATGCACAACAAAAATGATTATGTGTAGTTGTTGAGAAAATGCAAGAAAGATGATGAAGATGATGAGAACAAAATCAGTGTATATTTTCACTTTTCTTATTGTCTGTTTAGAAGAACAAGCCAACTCAATATATATGCAAGTCAAAAACAATTAACCAACTTAACAAATACTTTGACAGTTTCACATAACCGAATTTTGGTGAAAAACGCGCGAGCGGTCGACCTATAGAAAGGGAAAAATCGACCTGAGCTCTCCCGAATTTCAAATTGTGCAGAAAACAGCACTTTGTGTCGACCGGAATAGGTCATGCGTCGACGCAAAGGATACATATTTAGACAGATAAAAATGAACACATAATGAGTCGACTGGAGGGTCGACGCGAGCACTCTTGAGAGTAGATCATGCAAAATAACTTATGCATGAGTCAACCGGAACATTCTTTGAGTCGACTCAAAGACTCAGAATAAGCAAAAATGCATTTTTTTTCCATGCATTTAGCTACTTTTGAGATACTCCACCATTTTGCAAGCTAGACCAACATGATCAAACCTATATGGAACATATATTGTACTTTTTTTATATGTATCTAAACATGTTTTTGACCAATGTTTGACGCAAGAGGAATAAGGTATGCATATGCGACATAATGATACCGTCCAATGATCATTTTTCTACCTATGTAAATTTTGACATCATTAAAACAAGTATAACTAAATATAAAAAACTTTTCCTTGACAACCCCATCTTTAAAATCTAGATTTTCATAAAATATCTTGATTAATCTTAGGTAAATTGGCTCTAGCTTTTTGCATATGAAATCTTTAAGCAATGCTTGATAGAGATCTGAGTAGAAATTGAATTTCATGAAGTAATTTGCGTCTAGGTAAATAGCTTTGAGGACGTGACAACCAAAAAGGAACTTGTCATGAAAAATCTTCCGAGGATTTAGAAGTGAAATCTATGAACTCAGAAGTTATTAAAAAGTGTTTTCAAAGGGAAGAATCTTGTTTGATGCCATTGTGATGATGATGATAGCAACAAAACATTTGAAACAAGAAAGAAAGCAAGAGAGAAAAATAGTCTTGAGATGGGGTAAAAGAGAGAGAGGAATGAATGTACCTTTTGTAGCCTCTTTCTAAACATTTTGGATCTGATTTGGACATGGTTGATCATTGCTAATTGAAAACAAAATCACTGATTTGAAATAGTTTTTAAAAATAGGCTATTAATCAATTTACTCTTCAATGTTGATTGATTTTGCATCAAAACTAATTGAAAATCGAGTCTGCCACGGGGATTTGATGTATATTTAATTTCTAATCGATTAGATTTGGCCTTAATGGATTTGATGGCATCATATTTAAAAATTAAATAGTCTTACGATTAACCATCTAACTTAATCAATTAAAAGGTGAACTTTTCATCTTCCTTAGTCTGTTTAGGCTTGAAATGCCTTTGGGCTTCACTGTCTTACTTTTGGAACCTCCCATTTTAGGAAGCATACCTTCTTTTGCTTTATTTTTAGAGTAAACGATTAGTATAAATAAATAAAAATGATCATGCATTAATTTAATTCTTGTTAAAAAATAACTTGAGTTTTATGAGTTTATTCTCAATCAAGTGATTTATCTTAAACCACAAGTAATCTTGAAAAAGTTTATTCCCCTTTATTTCATTCGAAATTGAACCTAGTTCTCTATTTTTTACATCTCTCCAGATCTTTTGATGTGAGAGATAATCTTAGAATTCATTTTTTTAATGAGTTCCCTTCCAAAGAGTTATTTATTCAAGGAGACACTTCCAAAGAATCTTTTGAACATTAGATCATCTTTTTTGAAGAAAGATTGGATATATACTATGTACAATTTATTTTGATATGATACTTATTTAAGGATGTTGCAAAGCATTCCTGCAAAACAAATCAGATTTTTATTTTTCATACCCAATTTTGTTATCCTTTAGTGTTGGTGGATTTAAAATGTATTGGATCATTGGAGATGTATCTTTTAAACCATTTTAAATCATGCATTTTGATAAAATAATAAGATTCAAAAGGACTAAGCTTTGACATTAATTACATTTATAAACAGAGTAATTTATTTTATTCTTCACATGACATATATTTATAAAAGATTTAGTATTATACCATGTAAGATTTCAAGATTCTCTTTGTCTTTAGTAAATTTACTCAAAGTTTCATGCAAGATTTCAATTTCAGTTCTCAATGAATCACATGTTTCATAACTATTTGATTTTAAAGCTTTTTTTCTAAGCACATTAATTTTATCACCAATCTTATGATTTTCACTTTTAAGAGCTTTAACATATTCTAATACACTAAGATATATCTTTCTAGCTCATCATTTTTTACTAAACTTAACACTTAAGTCAAATACTTGCTTGTAAGATGTAGCATTATTTCATCGTCATCTTCACAAATAGTCTTAAAGTAAAATTTTACCTCTTCATATTATTCCTAATTGATTCTTTAAAAGATATTTCATGTGAATCTTCAGGTCATACTTCGAATGATCCTTCAAATGATGGGTCTAATCCTCTAAAAAATTCTTCAAATGATGAAGTTTATTCATACGTTGCGACACATTTTACATATGATACTACAAAATCTTCATATGATAGTACAAATTCTTCATATGATTCTTCTGATGATGATTCTTCAAAAGACTCTCTGAATTCTGATGAATATTTTTCATATGTTTCTTCTAATGACGATTCTTCATAAGATTCTTTAGATAATTCTTCATATGCATTTGAATGTTCTTCTTTCAGCAATTGGATTAATTCTTTAAACTTCTTGATTATCTCGTTCTTATTTGATTTATCCTGTAGATCATCAACATCTTTTATATCTTCAGAGTTAAATACTGAATCATATTTTCTTTCCGATTTAGACGGAATGAAAAACTTATCTTGCTACATCTTAAAATATACAAACGATGAAATGGAATCTCTATTGCGCTTCGCTCCATTCCGTTAAGTTCATTTTATGATATTCAAACACAACCTAAAATCAGATAGAACGGAGCATAATTGAGTGATATCTATTTCATTTCATCACTTACCATCACTTTTCTTCCTCTTCGATTTGTCTTGCTACGTCTTAAAACATCCAAACAAAACATCCAAACAATAGAATGAAATCTTTACTCCGCTATGTTTCATCCTATTCCGCTCTAATCATTTTAAGATATCTAAAAGTAGCCCAGTTGCTTCTTTTTGAAAATGTTCTTTCCTTCATCAGAATTTGTTGTCATAGACATTTGTGGCATATATAAAATAAGTGGTAAAAGCCTGACTGAGTACCGGAAGAGGTTGTAGGTTGCGTGCAACTTGTCTGCAACAACAGACAAGGAACCAACCTCTAATATATATTAATGAGAAGTTTATGCAGCAAACAAAGAGTATAATTCAGGATGCCAAGGATCTCTGGGGTAACACACATATGGATAAAGGCTTTAAATTGATAACAGGGCTGAAAATGAGTTCCTCCTCCCTCAAGCTTGTACTTGGACTTCAGATGCATGAATTGATTTCTTTGGTTTAAGACAAATGGCAATAGCTCAAAATCAACCAACATAGATGTAGTTATCATAAGTTTAGCCAATAGCAAAAGTCTGTGGTATTTTTCAAACCACAGACCAGAGATTAAACCGGCTACTTCATAAACTTCAACAATGTTGGAAAACAACAAATGATAAGCTGGTATGCTAACAAGAACACGCCAACACTTAAAACTTCATTATATAAGAAAGTGTACAATAATGTAATAAACTACTTTATCACGTGTTACAAGTACTTGGATATACTATCAGCACATTACAATTTCACTCTTCAAGTAAAGTAGAGTAAATAATAGCATAAGGTATACACAGATCCATTTACAAGTTTTCCAGCCATACTGTTTCAATATTAAACCACCTGCTTGAGTGATAAGCATTTCACTATCTCACTGCCTTGGTTTGAGCTTCAGGGAAGCACTGCAGAAATTCCAGAACAAACATAAACTTCTAGACAAAGGTGAAGAACTTATACAAGTGAAAAAGAAACCCAATTCAACAAGTGATTCTTTACCTGTTGATACAGTAACGCTTTCCTGTGGGTGGAGGACCATCATCGAAAATGTGTCCAAGATGAGCATCACAGGCAGCACAGAGTACTTCCTGGCGAGGCATGAATATAATCGACAAATCTAGCTTTGATTTTACATTTTTACCAATCGGCTGGTAATAGGACGGCCAGCCAGTTCCACTATTAAACTTAGTAGATGATCTGAAGAAAAAAAACAAAAGAAGTGAATTGGTTGAAGATGATTCGAGCTATATTTTTGGTTAAATAAATGCTCAAGCGTGCGCATATAAAGTACTTACTCAAATAAGGGTGTGTCACAACATATGCAATGGTAAGTCCCTTCAGTTTTGGTATTCCAGTACTCCCTAAAATAAACTTAAAAATAGTTAAATACAATAAATAGTAGCATCAGACTAATGAAATCATATCACAATAGCTATCCAGCAATCATACAACAACATGACTAATTTATATCTTTAAGAGTCCCGGGATGGTACAGAATTAAATACTTTAGACACGAGAATATGTACTACGCTTCCTTATCTTGCCCTGAATTATATGCAGACACACAATATTAAAGTCAAATGCACACTAAACTGACTAAAGCAAAAATGGTTCAGAAAAGAAGGGTGTTAGGCCACGCGAACATGTCAAATTCTGTCCTACAGATACACCTAATCAAAATACATGGTTGAATGAAGAGCGTTAGATGACATAATGAGTAAAACAATGACATCCACCCTACGAGGAAGTTTCACGATCCTGGAAACCGTAGAATCCACCTACACAAGGAGGATAAACGTTGTAGTCAATGTACACACTCTCTAAAACCAAAAACATTCCTCTCAGCCTCAGTCAGTCACTAACTTAAACACACTCTAAAACCAAAAAGTTCCTCTCAGCCTTAGTCAGTCACTAACTTAAGCATCAGAGTGTTTAAAAGGACAATCTACTAGAGCCCACAATCTCATCAAAATTAAACCTATTATCAGGATTCATTACGTCCATCACGGATCAGAAATCAATGAGGTGCATTAAAACTTACATTTTAGAAAGTGGCATCAAGCAAATAACATGTTTTCAACGAGTACAAAAATTCTGTATCAACTACGCAGAACCATGTTCTTTACTGAAAATTTAACAAATGAAAAACAAGAGTAGGAGGAAGATTAGTGTTAAACTGACCCAGTGAAAGCTCTCTCAGTTCCCTTTTTCCGAGTAACATAAAACTGCTCATCCGTTAACCGTTTCTTCCATTCCACATCGCTTAAAGATTTATAATCAACAGTATTAGATCCTGCAAGACACATAGAGATATTTTCAGGCAATCACAATTCACAATAAGCATATATCATATGAATCCAATTGTAAAATGAATACCTGATTCAAATCCCGTGGTGTTTGAGCCAGAAGAAGGTGAAGAACCCATAGCTCGAATTGAGGAAGAAAGTGTTGTTGTTGTGGGTTTGGTATGAAGACGTGAAGGTGACAAGAAAAGATTGGAATGAAGGTTCTGGATTGGTCTATTGGAAGGAAATTGTGGTGTAGATAGGCTCAAACTATGAGATGCCATTCTCCAAATGTTCACCTATTCGATTCTTAATTCAGAGGCTTCATGAAATCAAATGCGTAATCAATAGTGGTTAGCGGTTTCTTATGATGCCACGTAACTAAAAATCATACACAATTCATCTTGTTAACAACTCTCTATATCCAAATTCTACTTGCTAAATAAATAATTTTGATTTGTTTAATTTTACACAGTTTATTTCTTACAAAATAGTTGTATAAATAATGATTTCGATATGTGTAATTGTAAGAGTTTGTTTTATGATTGGATAAATTAAAAATAAAAATTGTCTTGTCCAAAAATATAGATAATTTTGAGAGGATTAAAAATATGTTTGGTTTCTATTTTTAAAAGTTTTTATATACAATATTCAAAGAGAAGGATATATTTGATCTCTCATTTAAAACATCTCGCTTTTAAAAGTATGTGTTTAAGAGGTTGTATACAATTCAACTAGGAAGGTTATATCTAAATTATATATATATATATATATATATATATATATATATATATATATATATATATATATATATATATATATATATATATATATATATATATATATATATATATATATATATATATATATATATATATATATATATTAATTAGTAACTATCAAGGGAGAATAACAAACTTTTGATATATGATCTAATCTTGCGACTAACTAGTTATCGTTGGTAGAGTTATCACAACATCCGAGTCGCCGTAAAGGAGATGTTTGTCGCTATGGAGGAACTATATCACAAAAAAAAGATATTACAGGTCAACATAGTAATCTAAAACAACAACAACTGCAACTAGTAGGTGACAAACATGAAGACCGTATTGACCCTCGACCCTAAGAGTGGTCAAACAAGGTTTTAAACCTTCAATGCACTAAAAGTATGAGGAGTGGTTCAGACTTAGAAACATGATATTATAAACCTTAAACCTCACACTTACAATTGTCAATGACTTGATCATCAGAGTATTTGCAGGTGCACCTCCACCATCGAATACAAAATACAAAATAGCATTGTATATAAGGTGATCATCGCCATCACTTGAAGATGAAAATTATTCCATATTGTTGGTGGGAAACGTCCTCAAACGTTTCCGCTTTACATTTGAGCTGATGATAAACCCCTTATGCAGACAAACAAAAAATTCTCCTTGAACATGAAGTCAATGGCCTTCTTAAAGGCCTCATACCGATCATTTAGAATTAGTCTAAGGCTATCCAAAAATAGAAGGATTTCATGATGGAGATGACTCAAAGTTAGAGCACAAAACACAACATGATGGATCAAGTTAGTGGCATCCTCTCATTGAAGATCTTATGCGGCCATATTTCATGTGTTTCATGCCATCAAGGCCTGAAAATCCCATGTACAGTCCCCTAGGTCTAAAACCCTTTCACGTAAAAAAAAATGGGCAAGAACATCTTTGTTATTGTAAGGGAGAATACACTAAAGGAAACAATCTTCTCACCATCATGAATTCCTTCAGAAAAATCTATATTTCTTGAGAGAACCTGCCTATCAATGCTTCTATAGAATATGAATAAATAAAGTGGAACCACCTGGGTGTCGCTCAGATCATCATCTAATGTATCTAGAACTCCGGGTAGGTGATTTGTCACTTCTTAAAGAGAAAGTTGGAAGAGATAGTTGCGCTAACTAGAAGATAAGAATTAGAGTATATGCAAACTAGTATACTTCTATTATCCTTCTAGAGAGAATACCTAATCATTACGCTAAACTACCAACATGTGAATAAATTATGACACTTGCATAATATTCTAGGTAGTATACTTATAGCGAATCAATCTAGTATAAATATTACTCATAATATTCATACCTATGTAAAGACTTGATAAAACTTTATCCATGATCCATGAGATGTAATCATTTGTCTACCCACATAATAGTCTCGATACTTTAATGTTATCCCAATTCACAATAAAGATCAACTACATATACTTTAAGAATAATGTTTGTTACGTTTTAGAACAAAAATTAAACTGATGATCAAAAGTGATTGCGGATCTGAGCTTTTAGTATGGTGGAGTGATAGGACCCGTAAGGTTAGCACTCTAACGCTCGAGTTAGTATGTGAGGGAGAAGAGAGAAGTGAAATTGAATTTGAAACTTATTACATCAATTTAGCGCTTTCCCTAGAGATAGATAGATAGATAGATAGATAGATAGATAGATAGATAGATAGATAGATAGAGAGGGAGAGAGAGAGAGAGAGAGAGAGAGAGAGAGAGAGAGAGAGAGAGAGAGAGAGAGAGAGAGGAGAGAGAATAATCAACTCTCTATTCATTTGGAGTGGAATGCAGAAAGCCGTTGGATGTACTTGTAGTTAAGATCTTTGTGAGCGTTGTGAGGGAAAGTTGTCTCAATACTTATTTTAATGATGTCAAAACATATCTAGTTAGTAATGTGTACTTTGGACGATATCATCGAGTTTCATATGCATTCGTTGTTCTCTCGTGTCAAGCATTTAACAAAAACATGTGTCTGTTCATATAAAAAAGCATTATATGTGTTTTTGTGAGTTTGATCATGTTGGTAGACTTAGGTATGCATTAGAAGTTCTTAGAAATAGCAAGACATATCAAAATCAATATTTTTGCAAGTTATGTACCTTTGAGTCGACTCAAAGTCCTGCTTAGGTTGACTCATACAGAGTGAATTTTTATGATTTTCTCTCAGGAGAGCTCGCGTTGACCCTCCGGTCGACTCATATTGTTAGCATTCTAATTGTTCAAAACTGGGTTGTTTTGCGTCGACGCATGGACATGTTCCGGTCGACGTAAAGAGACAATTTTTGCATAATTTTGAAAGCGAGAGAGCTCAAGTCGACCCCCATTTTCTTTAGGAAGTTGATAATATCCGAAAGATGGACTAATGGCTTTGGGCACCTCTTTAGAACCTTGTTCTATAGGTACAATCAACCTTTAGTCCACATCCTTTGGGAATGGGTATACCCTTTGGCTCCATGCTCGTTGCAAACCTAGGGTCTCCTTTGTTTGTTTATCTTTATGTCTCTATGTGCTTACTTGTGTTTGTTGCATCCATATAGCATCATATTGCATTTGGTTTCATGGAATCCCGAGTTTATTTATAAACATTATAGAACCAATAGGGATTACAAAAGAAAATGTTTTTGAAATATTCTTTTAAGAGTCCTAACTTGGATGATCTAAGGAAGTTAAGGGCACTAATTGGAGAATCAAGGAAACTCAAAAGACAAATACAAGAGGCTTCCCTCATTATTGAAGATCAAATGAAGTAAAAAGACTTTCGTCAATATTGAAGATCCAAGTAAACAAGGGCTTCCTTCCTTATTTTCCAACAAGAGATAGAGGATTTATTTTCCTCTATCACACTATTCCTTAGAAGTAGATCGTAAACAACTTGTATTCAAGAAAGTCTGGATAGAACAGTAAATCAACAAGCACGATGAAGGACTTCCTTAGGGCTTTACTAGCTTTTATTTAGCTATTACATTGGGACTCTTATAAGGATATTATTTATCAAAAAAAATATATAATAAATAATTCTATTTGGTATTCTGTAACGTTTATAAATACTTGAGTTCCATGAAATTGTCCATCTGCATTCTTGCATTAGCATCCTGCATTTAGCATTTTGCATATGCATGTGTCTCTCCTCTTCTGTGGCTCATCCAGTCTTCTGTCTTTGACTGTCAGCTGACATCTCGACCATTTGACCAAGCTTGAAGTAGTATTGAAGGACAGTAAAGAAAATGAAGGATATGGATTCCATGACTGGTTTCAGAGTAAGGACTAATCCGTTATTTGATCCCCCCTCTGGAAATGTTCAACAAGTGGATGCTCCTTCCCAACCTCAGCCTGTGCAAGATAACTTGTTTGTTCAAGTTGATAGAAGAGATTCCCGATTTCCGCAGCCTGTACCTAATCTTCAGAATGTTCGTACTGATAAAAAGATGGACAATCCTAGATTTATAGCAATCGAGAAAGAATTTTGTGATCTTAAGGAACAATTGAAAATGATGAAAGGAGCTGATGCATCTGATCTTGATGCTCATGACTTATGTTTAGTTCCAGGCGTAATTATTCCTCCGAAGTTCAAGATGCCTGTCTTTAAAGTATACAAGGGTACTAGTTGTCCAAGACACCATTTGACGATGTTTTGTCGGAAGATGGCTGCTTATGTTGATGATGACAAATTGATGATTCACTGCTTTCAAGAAAGTTTATCTGGGGCATCCTTGATATGGTATATGAAGCTACAAAGGAACTGTATTCAGTCTTGGAGAAACTTAGCTGATGCTTTCGTGAAGCAACGCAATTATAATTTGGATATCGCTCCAGACAGTGATCAACTGGCTATAATGAGTAAGAATGACGATGAATCTTTCAGGGAGTACGCGCAACAATGGAAAGAGTTGGCAGCCCAAGTTCATCCACCATTTCAAGAGAAAGAATTAAGCAAGATGTTTCTAAAAACGCTGTCAGACTCTTATTATGATAGGATGATAGGTGTTGTGCCATTAGATTTCTCCAAGATTGTAGAAGTCGGGGTAAACGTCGAGAATGCACTCAAAAGTGGAAGAATTCAAGATAGCTTGAATACCCAAGCTATTGAAGAAGATTCAGTCAGTGATTCCCTAGACGAAGGAAATGTCGACGTTAATGCAATTTGGGATTCCTCTTAAATCTTGCCAAATCCTGTTCAAGTACCCTATCCTCAACACCGGTATGCGGCGCCTGCTCGACGCAAGCAGCGACTACCTCATAAAAGAAGATTAACTTCTCTAGATCAGCATCAGGATCGACGAGTTCGAAGACAGTTTCAGAATCATAAGACACCTCTGAGTATTCCGAGAGAAGAAACTCGCTGGTTTGATCTTATCCCAATGACTTACAGTCAACTATGGTCTTATTTCATCCGAAACTCGGTGATGACACCCAAAAAGACTAGAATCATGAATTCTCACCCACCGTGGTTCAACTCGAACGCCAGCTG